ATCACAACTACTACCACCACTTCATACCACCACTACTACCACCACTACCACCACTACCACCACTACTACCACCACTACCACCACTACTACCACCACTACCATTACTACCACCACTACCACCACTACTACCACCACTACCACCACTATTACCACCACTACTACCACCACTACCACCACTACTACCACCACCACTACTACCACCACTACCACCACTACTACCACCACTACCACCACACTACCACCACTACCACCACTACTACCACCACTACCACCACTACTACCACCACTACTACCACCACTACCACCACTACCACACACTACTACCACCACTACTACCACCACTACACACCACCACTACTACCACCACTTACCACACTACCACTACTACCACCACTACACCACTCACCACACCACCACTACACCACCACTACCACTACTACTACAACTACCACCACTATCCACACCCCACTACCACTACTACCACCACTACCACCACATACTACCACCACTACTACCACTACCACCACTACTACCACCACTACCACTACTACTACCACCACTCCACCACCACTACTACCACTACACCACCACTACTACCACCACTACCACCACTACCACCACTACTACCACCACTACCACCACCATACTACCACCACTACTACCACCACTACCACCACTACCACCACTACTACCACCACTACCACCTACCACCACTCCACCACCACTACTACCACTAACTACCACCACTACTACCACCACTACTACCACCATACCCCACTACTACCACCACTACCCCACCACTACCACACTACTACCACCCACTACTACCACCACTAACTACCACCATTCCACCACACTACCACCACTTCCACCACCACTACTACACACTACTACCACCACTACTACCACCACTAACCACAACCACCACCACTACACCACCACTACCACCACTCACCACACTACCACTACTACCACCACTACCACCACTACTACCACCACTACCACCACTCCACCACTACCACCACACTACCACACTACCACCACTACTAACACCACCACAACCCCACTACCACCACACTACCACCAACTACCACCACTACTACCACCACTACTACCACCACTACCACCACTACCACCTACTACACACTACCACTACTACCACCACTACCACCACTACTATCACCACTACTACACCACTACCCCCACTACTACCACCACTACCACCACCTACCACCACTACTACCACCACTACCCACCACTACCACCACTACCACTACTCACCCACCACTACCACCACTACTACCACCACTACCACCACTACTACCACCACTACCACACACTACCACCACTACTACCACCACTACCACCACTACACCACTACTAACCACACTACCACTACTACCACCACTACCACCACTACTACCACCACTACCATCCTACCACCACTACCACCACATACCAACCACTACCACCACTACTACCACCACAACCACCACCTACCACCACACCACCACTACACCACCTACTACCACACTACACTACCACCACTACTACCACCAATACCACCACACTACCACCACTAACCATACTACCCCACTACCACGACTACTACCACCAACTACCACCACACTACCACCACTACCACTCACTACCACCACTACTACCACCATACTACCACCACTACTACCACCACTACTACCACCACTACTACCACCACTACTACCACCACTACCACCACTACCACCACTACCACCACTACTACCACAACTACTACCACCACTACTACCACCACTACCACCACTACTACCACCACTACCACCACTACTACCACCAGTACTACCACTAATACTACCACCACTACTACCACCACCACCACTACTACTACCACCACTACTACCACCACTACCACCACCACCACTACTACTATCACCACTACCACCACCACTACCACCACTACCACCACTACTACCACCACTACCACTACTACTACCACCACTCCACAATGTTTGTAAACACGTCAGCGGTAACGAGATGAGTCATTTCAATGTTTTTCAAAACACGTGGAATTGCATCGATCTATCACTGAACATAATGTTACTATGTGTTCAGTGTTTTTATGTGTTCAGTGGCAATATGTTCGCAAATGTTAACCCAGGATAACCCAATACAGCCAAGGATCACTCAAGATAACCCCAGGATAACCCTATAAAGTCACTGTGGCCTGGTGGCTAAAGCTCTCGCTTCACACGGCGAGGGTCTGAGTTTGATTCACTGCGAGGGTAGAAACATCGGGCGTGTTTCCTTACACCGGTTGTCTATGTTCCCCATCAGTAAAATGGGTACCTGGGAGTTAGTGGACTGGTGTGGGTCGCATCCTGGGACAAAACTGACCTAATTTACGGTAAATGCTCAGTATAACAAGGGGCTTTCTATATAGTAGTATATCATTGATGTCAGCTATGGTCTGTATAAGTTATATCATGTACTGGTAGAAATAAAGATATATATTACTGCCGTTACCTCACAGACTGTCCAGTCACTAACCATCTAACAGCAATATCTGGAAGCTAACGGTCTATTGAATAGATTGTTGACCGCTAGATTCTATTGTAATCTGCATTAACAGAGAGAGTAAAGATAGACCTAAATTGTAAGGAATATACAGGAGAATAACAACTTTTAACATGTAAATAAACTGGGGGGATGTAAATAGTGTGCTGAAAATATCTAGCCTAGACAGGACTCGCAGCAATGGTTTTAAGTTGGAAAAATTCAGATTCAGGAGGGATATAGGAAAGTACTGGTTTGGTAATAGAGTTGTGGATGAGTGGAACAAACTCCCAAGTACCGTTATAGAGGCCAGAACGTTGTGTAGCTTTAAAAATAGGTTGGATAAATACATGAGTAGATGTGGGTGGGTGTGAGTTAGACCTGATAGCTTGTGCTAACAGGTCGGTTGCCGTGTTCCTCCCTTAAGTCAATGTGACCTGACCTGACTAGGTTGGGTGCATTGGCTTAAGCCGGTAGGGACTTGGACCTGCCTCGCATGGGCCAGTAGGCCTTCTGCAGTGTTCCTTCGTTCTTATGTTCTTATGTTCTTATGCTTGTGGTGGTGGTAATACTGGTTACCACTCCACGAGCCCTCTTAGGGCGGGGAAGGTGCCAGAGCCAGAGCTTGTTTCCACCTGCGGCTCACAAGACTGCCATTCCCACGAGCCCCCCTGGGGCGGGGAAGATGGCAAACCAGAGGCCTTGCTTCTCCCTACGAGCCCCGTGAGGGCGGGGAATGGGGCTAGGCCTGGGGACAGTTGGTCCCAGAAGATGAGGAGGTACTTGTACCTCCTCCCATGGGAGACATAGGTCTCAGATACTCTTAAGACAGGGAACCAAGGCCGGGTCACCATCTGGACAAGACCCGGGTCGGGAGAGTACCGGCGGATCAAGGAGAGGAGAGGGTAGTGGTGGTGGTAGCAGTGATGGTGGTGGAGGTGGTAGTAGTAGTAATAGTAATAATGGTGGTAGTGGTAGTAGTGGTGGTGGTATTAGCAGTGGTGGTACTAATGGTGGTAGTGTGGGTAATGGTAGTAGTGGTTGTGGTAATTGCAGTAGTGGTGGTACTAATGGTGGTAGTGTGGGTAATGGTAGTAGTGATTGTGGTAATTGTAGTAATAGTGGTAGTAGTGGTGGTAATAATGGTAGTAGTGTGGGTAATGGTAGTAGTGCTGGTGGTAATTGTAGTAATGGTGGTAGTGGTTGTAGTGGTGGTATTGGTAATAATAGTGATGGAATTAATGGTGGTAATGGTAGCAGTAGCGGTGGTAGTAATAGTGGTTGTAGTGGTGGTGGTGGTATTAATGGCAGTAGAAATGGTGGTAGTAATGGTGGTAGTGATGGTAGTAATGGTAGTAATGGTGGTAGTAGTTATGGTTGTAATTGTAGTAGTAATGGTGGTAGCAATGATAGTAATGGTGGTAGTAGTTTGTAGCAGTGATGGTAGTAATGGTGGTAGTAGTGATGGTAGTAGTAATGGTGGTAGTAATGGTAGTAGTAATGGTAGTAATGTAATAATGGTAGTAGTAATGGTAATAATGGTGGAAGTAATTGTAATAGTGGTGGTAATAATGGTAGTAATGGTGGAACTAATGGTAATAATGGTGGTAGTAATGGTAGTAGTAATGGTGAAAGTAATGGTAATAATGGTGGTAGTAATGGTAATAATGGTGGTAGTAATGGTAGTAGTAATGGTGGAAGTAATGGTAATAATGGTGGTAGTAATGGTAGTAGTAATGGTGGAAGTAATGGTAATAATGATGGTAGTAATGGTAGTAGTAATGGTGGAAGTAATGGTAATAATGGTGGTAGTAATGGTAGTAGTAATGGTGGAAGTAATGGTGGAAGTAATGGTAATAATGGTGGTAGTAATGGTAGTAGTAATGGTGGCAGTAATGGTAATAATGATGGTAGTAATGGTAGTAGTAATGGTGGAAGTAATGGTAATAATGGTGGTAGTAATGGTAGTAGTAATGGTGGAAGTAATGGTAATAATGGTGGTAGTAATGGTAGTAGTAATGGTGGAAGTAATGGTAATAATGATGGTAGTAATGGTAGTAGTAATGGTGGAAGTAATGGTAATAATGGTGGCACATGTCTCTGCATACAAGATAAAGCTAAATCCTAGACTGGCATTTCCTGTTGCCAATTGATCATTTAAGAAATGTAATGACAACCAAACAACCTACAACCACTCACCAAACAACTACCATAACTACCCACATTCCTAACTATCTTAATTACCCTCCAACAACCATTAACATAGCCAGATATGATGGTAATTATGTACTTAGATAGCTAAATGAGGATGAGTGTATTGTGGTAAGGGGAAAGAAGGGCTAGCTAAGGGGTGGATAGAAGGGTTATAAATGGGTTTATGGGTTGATAGGGGATAGAGTGGAGATGGATGGGGTTAGATAGATAGTGTTATGGTGGGTAGATAGATGTATGTGCGCCTATGTGAGCTTCACTTGTCAAAGCTTTGTTTTGCTGCCCGGGTGCTGCTGCTGCTAAACATTACGAAATACAAACTTTTTTAAGCCATTCTGGCGCTGAGAGGAACTGGTGGCGGTGTTGGCGGTGAGACGGTGTTGCTGGGAGACTGGAGAGATGGTAGACGAGTGAGAGAGATGGTGACAGGGTGAGATAAGAGTGAGAGAGAGAGAGAGAGAGAGAGGAGAGCAGCCAGGCTAGACCCACCTCTAACATCTTACAAGACAATAATGACACTTATCAAGCACTCTGGCCTTATTTAACCCCCAAGATGCACTCTCTCTGCCTCTAGTCTGCTCATGTCCTGAGATTTTCACTTTATATATCATCTTAAGGTTGGTATTAGTCTCCCTCAAACCTTCGTTAAAATCTTCCGTCAACGCTGTATGACCCTGGCGGGTTTAGCGCTTGCTTTTTCATTATAATCAAAAATCTTCATAATTCAGCCTTTAGGCCTATGCAACAGCTAGATATTATCTATAGTTAAGGGAAATAAAATTGTTGGGTGTAAAGTTATAAAAAACTGGTTATTAATGGTAGTTTAGTAAAGTCTGCATTAATTATATAGTTTTAATCTTTTTAGATTAAAAATTAATGAATAAAATTGAGGTTTGTTGGTAAAAATTGTATGTCGCTCCTCGATGAGTTTTGTCGATAAAATATACCAGATTTTGTAGAGTATTAAGTGGGGTTTAAGTTCGACTTGGTATTACGATGTGCAGACTTAACGAAACCCTACATAACCCAAGCTAAAACAAGGTAATGCAACTTAACCTTACTACGCCATCGACTGTTGTTCACATACGCCCGTCAAGGAAGGTTCCTTGACACTGGTGAGGAGCTCATGATCTAATGAATTGGGTCTGTGCTCCGGTTCCCTGAATCAAGCCAGAATACCTTCCATGCCCCCCCCCCACGTGCACTGTATAATCCTACGGGTTTCGTGCTCTTAGATGGTTATAATAATAATAACGTTCATGTACGCTGAATCTTTGGTTATATTGCTGTGATTGGTTAATCCAAAGTACTTGATGAGAATATAGTAACACTACAGTAGGTCAGTTGGTCCATGCTAGTCAAGTCCAACTCGCTCTGCCACCACTGGTATACCCATCCAACCTCAATGGAAATAAGTCACTGATATTTTTTTTTTCTTTTTGAGTTATCCTGGTGGGTAATTTACACTGTGTAGGATAATTGTATTTAATATGCACCTGTACCTAAATAAACGTACTTAGTTACCCAGAGTTGTAACCCTAATCGTGTTGCCAGGGATTTTCATCAACTTGTCTTATCTACTCAGATTTGGTTTGTATTTATGTGGCGCTCATGACAAAAAAATATGTTGCTTTCACTATTATCTTTCAAAATAACAACTTATGCAAGAAGTAATCTTATTTCTTTGTGTCGATAGCTTGTACATATCACAAATTATAAAATAATGCCAGAGTCCCACTGAGAAACATCCGTTAATTATAGCTGGTCGGTTTACTGCCATGCTTGACGTACGGTACGGACACACTGATTGGTGCGTTCTACTTGATTCTTGCTGCTTATCACCATTGAGGGGCTTTTGATCCAAGGGATTTGAATTATCCTCCCTTGGAAAATAATTCAAAGTCATGAGTACTAACTACAGAGTTCAGTGGTATCTGTAATACAAATACAAAATGTGCGTAATTTATACAAAATTATGGTAATTATTGAGTTCAGGAACACAAGTTTTTATGCAAATTATTCAGTATTAAGTAGGTTATGGAATGGAAACAAGTATGGGAGGAAGCCTCTTTTTTTAATTAACCCCAAAATAAATATAGCTGAACCTAACTTAATCTATACATTACCTTTAAAACTAGGTTAGGTCGGATTTTTTTTTTTTTCCTACCATTGGATGGGTCTGTCCCATGTACACAAAATATAATTATCAGTTGCACAATAGGTTATCATTAAGCTCAGAATTGAGCCTTTAAACTCATTATTAACCAAAATATTATAGTGTTATAATAGTATTCTTATTATTCTTGTGTGTATGTCATTGCCTTGTAAGTCACTTAATGACTTTTTTGTGTTATCCTGGTGGGTAATTTATACTATGAATGTTAATTGTACTTAAGTGTGCCTGTACCTAAATAAACTTACTTTGCAGTAACATCAATAAATAATTATTATTAATTATTAGTTATTATTTTTTCTTTATTTGTCTTTTTCCTTTTTTCCATTTTCTTCCACCTTTTTAAACAAAGAAAAGACCACCAAGCCTGCCAGTGAATTTTTTTTTTTTTATGGTATTTCCTAGATGGTGGCTGACTTGTGTATTCTTATTTGTACACTTGCATTTTGTTATTATCATAAGTTAGTCTCGAGTTTGCTTGAAATGTTGTGCATATTAAGAGGCTTTCTGCATGCTCACCTTAATGTCATCCACCTCTGTACAAACATTGTATCATGCTGAAGTAAAGTATCTTATCTTATGAGCTGTATAAGCAGCAACTTATTTTGGGGTCTCAAATCTACACGTGAGTTTTTGCAGTGGTTGAACAATACACGAGTTATGCCTGTGTCGTGGCTGTGTGTTTAGAATCAAACTTTTGTGTTGTTCATGTGGTTAAAATTCAGATTTCTGTAGCTAGATAGTATATCGCAAGGGGAATATACAAAGAGTTTAAAAAAAAAAAAGGATGTGCGTGTTTTCAGAAATACTACTTTGGCAGCGTTTTAATTTGTTTTTATGTAATACTGTAGTTGGATTACAATAGTTGCTGCTTGTAACTAGGGTGTCTGATAAAGAAATTTTAATGAGAGTAAATTTCAAATAACATAGTGTCTCTAGAATGACTTAATGTCATAGTTGACAGTTGATGTAAAATAGCAGAGGTGGAGTAAATTTAATTTTGACTACTGTGTTTCATAAGAAAATGTGAGGAAATTTAAGCAAAGATATTTTCAGGATTGCTTGATAGTGTGTCAGTTGCCCCAACTTAATCAAACCATATCTGGCTAGATGTATGTATTTTGATGAAGTTTATGAGGTCTTGGTTATTAAGATATTGTTGTACAGTATTCTATTTAATTTTTATGTAGGTAATTTTCAAAGTATTGGGTAAGTTTTTTTTTTTATTTTGAAAGCTAAACATTTTATAAAATTGTGGCAGTTATTGTATTACATGTACCTACAGTAGTAATATAGAATTGTATTTACAGATGACGGCAGCCCCGACCTCTGCGGATGCATGTTTAAGCATCGTCCATTCCCTCATGTGTCATCGACAAGGGGGAGAATCAGAGGGGTTTGCCAAAAGAGCTATTGAAAGTCTTGTAAAAAAGCTAAAGGTATGCAAATGTGTGTCTTTTCAGTGAAAGTCAAAGCTAAACAAATGACTTGTTGTAGGCTGTTTTAAGAGTAAGTTGCTTAGTCTGTTTTTACGAACTTATTTTTGTTAAGGGTCAGTGTAAGCTGAATTTTCATTTAAGTTTTGTTTTGCATTTTTATTTTTTACAAATTAACATTGATGTGTTTTATTAACTATACGCACACCAGTAAATGAAGTGTTGGGGCCTGATTAAATAGGATGACCATTGATGATTTAAAAGCTCATTGCTATCTTTGGCCCAATCCCAAACATTATTCCCTTGGTGATGACTTCATCGATAAAGGTATTGATGTACACAGCATGCAGCTACACACACGTACTGTAGTCAGGTGGATTAGACTAAAGTCTTGTAGGTTAGCTGGTACCACAGTTTCAGATGAACTCCTCACAGCCATCCCAACATATAAAAAATTAGAATAATGAAAATATTTTTAAATACTTTCTTCAGTATTTTTGTTTTTCAGGAAAAGCGAGATGAATTGGATTCATTGATAACTGCAATTACGACAAATGGGTCTCATCCTAGCAAGTGTGTTACCATACAACGCACCCTTGATGGCAGATTACAGGTGAAAATTGTTTAGTAGCACAATGAAAATAAAACTAGAAATAACAGTATTGATGATAATTATGATATTATTATTATTATTATTATTACAATACAGTGGACCCCCGCATCACATAACGTTAAATCCGCATACCGCTACATTTTATCGCCAAGATTTTGCCTCGCATACCGCTAAAAAACCCGCTCAACGCTGTTCGTCCGAGACGCGTCTAATGTGCGCCCTTAGCCAGCCTCACATGTTCCGCCGGTGGCATTGTTTACCAGCCAGCCTCCGCGGTAACATCCAAGCATACAATCGGAACATTTCGTATTATTACAGTGTTTTGGTGATTTTATCTGCAAAATAAGTGACCATGGGCCCCCAAGAAAGCTTCTAGTGCCAACCCTACAGGAATAAGGGTGAGAATTACTATAGAGATGAAGAAAGAGATCATTGATAAGTATGAAAGTGGAGTGCATGTCTCCGAGCTGGCCAGGTTGTTTTAGTAAACCCCAAATCAACCATCGCTACTATTGGGGGCAACAAAAAGGCAATCAAGGAAGCTGTTCTTGCCAAAGGTTTAACTGTGTTTTCGAAACAGAGATCGCAAGTGATGGAAGATGTTGAGGGGACTGTTTTTGGGTTTGTGGATAAATGAGAAACAGATAGCGGGGAGTGCATCTCTCAAGTGATCATAAGTGAAAAGGGCTAGGAAGTTGCATGAGGATTTAATTAAAAAAATGCCTGCAACTAGTGATGATGTGAGTGAATTTAAGGCCGCAAGGTTGGTTTGAGAGATTTTAAGAGGGTAGTGGCATACATAGTGTGATAAGGCATGGTGAGGCTGCCAGTTCGGACCAAAAAAGCAGCGGGAAAAATATGTGCAGGAATTCAAGGGGGTACATAGAAATGAAGGACTGAAACCTGAACAAGTGTTTAATTGTGATGAAACAGGCCTTTTTTGGGAAAAAGGAAAATGCCAAGCGGGGACCTAATTACTCAGGAGGAAAAGGCCCTCCCAGGACAAACCTATGAAAGACAGGCTTACTCTGTTGATGTGTTCCAATGGCTACTGGTGATTGCAAAGTGAAGCCTTTATTAGTGTATCCTCTGAAACTCCCAGACCGTTCAGGCAAAAGAATGTCCTCAAGGAAAATTTGTGTGTGCTGTGGAGGAAAAACAGTAAGGCATGGGTCACTAGGGACTTTTTCTATGACTGGTTACACCATGCATTGCCCCCAATGTGAAAGATTCCCAAACGAAAGAAAATTAGAACTTAAGTGCCTCCTTGGTGTTAGAAAATGCCCCTGGTCATCCTACAGAGTGGCAGGGGCGACTTTATGGGGACATGAAATTCATTAAGGTGAAGTTTTTGCCTCCTAATACTACTCCTCTTTCCCGCACCCATGGACCAGCAGGTTATTGAAACTTCAAAAAACTGTACACAAAAGCTCTGTTTGGAAAGGTGCTTTGTAGTGACCTCAGAAACTCAACTGACTCTAAGAGAGTTTCGGAGAGATCACTTTAAAACCTCAATTGTGTAAACCTTATAGGTAAGGCTTGGGAGGGGGACTTAAAAGGACCTTGAACTCTGCTTGGAAGAAACTGGGCCAGAATGTGTAGACCAAGGGATTTTGAAGGGTTTCAGGCTAACCCTGAGAATCCTATGGCCAGTTTAGGAATCCATTATGGCACGGGAAAGTCCCCTTGGGGTTCGAGGTTAGTGGGGATGATGTGGAAGAGTTGGTGGAGGAGGACAATGAAGAATAACCAAAGATGAGCTGATAGATCAGCTTCAACAGCAGGAGGCCAGACCTGAGGAAACTGGTTCGAAGGAGGGAGAGAGAAATTGGGAAAAAATTGCCTACTACAAAGATTAGGAAATCTGTGCAAAGTGGCTTGAAAATGCAAACCTTCATGGATGAAAAACACCCTCACACAGCTATTGCAAACGTGCTGGTGACTATTTCACTGACAAAGTTGTTTAAACACTTTAGGGAAGTCATAAAGACGAGAGGTAAAGGCCACTATGGACAGATATGTTGTGCACAAAAAATCCAGTGACTCTGAAGCTGGTTTCCTTGTGGCATTAAAAGAAGAAGGGAAGTAACCCCAGAAAATGACTTGACACCTCAAGTCTTAATGGAAGGGGATTCCCCTTCTAAACACTAACACACTCTCCTCCTCCCATCCCATCAATCATCACCAGATCTTCAATAAAAGTAAGTGTCATGTAATTTTGCATGCCTTTTTCAGTTTGTGTGTATTAAAATTAATATTTCATGTGGTAAAAATTTTTTTTTTTCATACTTTGGGGTGTCTTGCATGGATTAATTTGATTTCCATTATTTCTTATGGGGAAAATTCATTCGCATAACGATAATTTCGCATAACAATGAGCTCTCTTGCACGGATTAATATCGCTATGCGGGGGTCCACTGTATGTCTTACTTTCGACTCATGTCTGTTTTATACAGTAATGATATCTGCATCAGACAAATATATTTCTTATTCCTTTTGTCAAACAAGCTTAATAATATTAACAATTATTTTTACTCATTTTCTTATTTGTTGTTGCTCGATGGATCATATGCATTGTGATGTTCGTTTACTTCTGGAAAGAAAGCTAATGAATGATGTTGAGTGTTTCCCTCTTTGGATCACCATTTCTTAGTGGGTCACGGCTGCTGTGTCAAGCCCAACTTGCATTTAATTGGCACTAGGGTATAAAATAAAATTCTGGATAGGTAAATTCATAAATGCAAAACATGAATATCGAGAGTACCATATTATTGGGTCTTATATGTGTTGACAGTTCTTGTTGCTTTCTTCACTACCCAGGTAGAGAAATGTTGGATTATTAAGGCAATTATTGGCCTTATGTCCATGTTCAGAAAATACTGTGTGTATATGCACAGATGTCAACACCTAGCAGTAAGTAAGTACCTAGGTGTTAGCCAACTGTTGCGGGTTGCATCCTGGGTGGTAGTATACCTTAGATAGGGCTGGGCTTAGAAATGAGCCGAGGCAGTATAATAGCTCTTAGCCTGTAAAATTTATTTGTGTTAAAAAAAAAGAGGTTTGGGGAATGAGTAAAATAAAAAATGTATTAATTTTATTGATTTTGTCTCATGGTAGTATTTTGCTCAACAGGTAGCAGGACGAAAAGGATTTCCCCACGTGATATATGCTCGCATTTGGCGATGGCCAGATCTACACAAAAATGAACTTAAGCATGTTAAATACTGCCAGTTTGCATTTGACCTTAAATGTGACTCGGTGTGTGTTAATCCATACCACTATGAAAGAGTAGTGTCACCGGGAATTGGTAAGTTATTACAAACCCCTTAAATGGCTGTGTTTAAAGATAACAGGAAGAAAATGTAGGTATAATTATTATTCTCAGATTTTGAGATTCATTTTGTGCTTGCGAGACATATAAAATAGAGCTACAGAAGGATCAAGAGCAGCAGGAAGTGTTAATGGCTGAAATGCATGATATCTATGTAATGAGTTAAGATAATAATGGAACAATACTTTTATAGTTTGAATTTTTTGCATATATTCTTGAATATCTCCATAGGGAAGTGGAACAGAATTCTTCCTCCTTAAGCCATGCATCTCATAAGAGGCAACTAAAATGCCAGGAGCAAGGGGCTAGTAACCCTTTCTCCTTATATATTACTAAATTTAAAAGGAGAAAATTTGTTTTTTCTTTTGGGCAACCCTGCCAAGGTGGGATACAGCTGGTTTGTTGAAAGAAGATTCTTGAGTACATCTTTTTTATAGATTTATATGTAATTAATGAGGTTGATAGACTAACACAAATGTTTCATAGATAATGAATAATTAATTTAATTTTTAATTAATATTATACACTATATGTATGTGTTTATTACTCAATTTAGATTCTGAAAACTTCAGAGATGGAAGATGCTGAAAGCTAGGTGATGCTCACTAGTGAATATTACATTCAGTGAATTAAACACTTGTGCAACACTTAGGTATTTTTATTGTTCACAGTAAAGATACTCAAGTGTTACACAAGTGTCTTAATTCATCAAGCTGTCAGTTCTCTGAACCACTTATCATCACAGCCTCTCCTCACTTAACGACAGAGTTCCGTTCCTAATACCGCATTGATAAACAAATTCCTCGCTAAACGAGGAGTATACTATGATGGTAGCAGTTTATCACCCATCTTTGATATTGCTTTAATGTCATCCTTGCACCATTTATAACATTTTTAATATATTTTTTAAATGTTTATACAGTAGTGTACTATGTAGTATTATAATAAACAGAATAGAGGAAATCAGCTCTAATATACATTATTTAGGTATGCATACTGGTCTGAGAGCCCATCATAACTCTGATTCATCGGTAAATGAGTACTGCACGTTGCTAAGTGAGGAAAGGCTGTATTATGTTGTCTGAGCATATGCCACTCTCTTAATTTGCAGTTGCTTCCTTTGATATTTTAATTAATTTTTACACAGTGAGATCCCAAACTTACGAATGCCCAGGTTACTAATATAAATAGCTAAGAATAAGGTTAATAAGAAATAATATTTGAAGACTGTTTCATGAATTCCAATTGGCAGTTATGAACATGTGTCCCAGAAACCTACTTTGTACTAATGTTTTCTGTAGTGAAATATGCTCAAAGTTTGAAATCTATAGGGTTGTTAACCCGTAAACGGTCCAAACGTATGTATACGTTTTTTCAACATTTGAAAGTATGTAAAAAAAGTAGATCTTCTTTTTGTTTTTTTACATTTGAAAATGTGTAAAAAAAACTTTGATCTACCTTTTTTTGTTGTTATATTTGAAAATATGTACAAAAAACGTAGATCTACTTTTGTAGCACTACACATGTGAACGTAGATCTGCTTGGACCGTTTACTGGTTAATAAGTTTTAGCATCAGGCGCTCGACTGGTTCTATGTACCCCAGTACATAATTCCCCTTGTTTTATGCAAATATATGCAGTGCTTTTGTTTCTGCTTGTAATGTGCTATGAGATGTAAATTCACTCTTACTCAATAGCCCATTCTCAGACCCACTTGTTTTTTTCTTACTATGTCATTAAATATTGCCCTAAGCTGGTTTGTATTTACTGTTGCCAGACAATCACTTTTTCTACACAGCAGAGAGGTGCACTGCAGTAGGCCTACTGGCCCATACTCTAGGAAAGTTATAATCTTTTAACCATTTCCTCTCTTATGCAACTTTATTGTGTAGTAAGCTCATAAATCTTAAGAAATATGGAATTTGCAAGGCTTGGAACATATCCCTCTTTTATTTGTTAAATTAGGTTTGCTTTTCTGCATCATGGGTCTGTAACACTATTGCATAAAGCGAAGGAGACCTTTCAGTACAGTACTGTATATGCTTCTTGGATACAGGCATTCCCAATGGCATGCTAGAGTTGACGCTCTTTCCTTCAAAGCAGACTTGACTGGGCTGAGCCTGCAAGGTACATCTACAGGTCAGCTGGTGAAAGATGAGTATGGGATACGTATGGATTGTGAAGTGAGTGGAGGACCTGGCAGTGTTGGCGAACCATCTGTCACTCCAGGTCCCTCAGGACTCTCATCCATATCTCATCAACCCTCTGCTTCACAGCCAGGACCTACAACATCTCAGGTAAGATATGTTGATCACAAGATAAGCTGCTCATTATTATTTTTTTTTTTTTTAAGTTTTAACTTTTAAATGTTCATTGGTTACAAAATTTTGTGAAAGGATTCAGGGAAACTTGTTAGATGGACTTGAGTCCTGGAGGTGGGAAGTACAGTACCTGCACTCTAAAAGATATTTGCTGTTTGGATGGGCATCTGAACTGTCCTCTTCGCGCCTCTGGCAAGAAAGTGATAGGGTGAATGATGGTTAGTGTTTCTTTTTTCGAGTTGCCCTACCTCAGTAAGAGACAGCCAGTGTGATTAAAAAAAAAATATGTTTACAAAATGGAGGAATGAGGAATTCTTTCCAGCTGAGATCATTTCTGACTGCATACCAGTGTACTTGGCACATTGACTTTTGTTATCAAATTTCAAGTGCATTGTATTGATCTCATTTGTTTAATAATTTTACAAATTGGTTTCATGGAATTACCCTGGCAAGGTAGCTATTGAATGAATGTTTTTTTTTTTGGGGGGGGGGGGGGGGCTCACACTCTACCTAGGTAAAAAAAAAAAAAAAAGGAACAAAACCAACAGTGCTCAAGACATTTTTTCAAGTTTTGCTGATTATCTTCGGTATAACTCATGGCTCCATTATACTTAGTAATGTGTGCCATTTGAGTTAGTTTTATCTAATATTAGCTCATTTTGACATATTTTAACCCTTAAACTGTCCAAACAGATCTACGTTCACATGCACAGTGCTCCAAAAGTAGATCTACGTTTTTTTACATATTTTCAAATATAACAAAAAAAAAAAAAACGTAGATCAAAGTTTTTTAACACGTTTTCAAATGTAAAAAAAAAAAAGAGAAGGTCTACGTTGTTTTTTACATTCAAATGTTGAAAAAACGTAGATCTACGTTTGGACAGTTTAAGGGTTAATGGAAGAAGTAATAGTATTAGTGGGTGTATCTCTAATGGATGTGAAGAAATTAGTGTTCTGGTAGTGTATATTAACCATTTATCATTGAACAGCCTGCCGGACCTCAAGCTAGTCCCACATCCTCACAGGTAAGTTATAATTGAACCTTTCCTCGTCGTTTATTTTGATGCCTTATACATATATATGTACATTGTATCACAACTGTATTCTGTTCTTTCATACTTTTATCCAGTCATTGGCTAGCAGTCATCATTATCTTGTTTCTCAGAGCATTTGGTTACATAGTGGCAAGTCATTTGCATTTACAACACTTAAGAAGCCATTTGTTTGCACATGCTTTTGAGCAAGACTTAAACTAAGAAACTTCAGTTTGTGTTTCATACACTCTGCCCCAGGGCCAGACTCATGGAACTCTGTGTTCATCAAGAACTGCAAGAAGCCCCTATCACGAGCCTTTTCCATCCTATGGAGAGGGAGCATGGACACGGGGGTCGTCCCTCAGTTACTAAAAACAACAGACATAGCCCCACTCCACAAAGGGGGCAGTAAAGCAACAGCAAAGAACTACAGACCAATAGCACTAACATCCCATATCATAAAAATCTTTGAAAGGGTCCTAAGAAGCAAGATCACCACCCATCTAGAAACCCATCAGTTACACAACCCAGGGCAACATGGGTTTAGAACAGGTCGCTCCTGTCTGTCTCAACTACTGGATCACTACGACAAGGTCCTAAATGCACAAAGAAGACAAAAGAATGCAGATGTAATATATACAGACTTTGCAAAAGCCTTCGACAAGTGTGACCATGGCGTAATAGCGCACAAAATGCGCGCTAAAGGAATAACGGGAAAAGTCGGTCGATGGATCTATAATTTCCTCACTAACAGAACACAGAGAGTAGTCGTCAACAGAGTAAAAGTCCGAGGCAGCTACGGTGAAAAGCTCTGTTCCACAAGGCACAGTACTAGCTCCCATCTTGTTCCTCATCCTCATATCCGACATAGACAAGGATATCAGCCACAGCACCGTGTCTTCCTTTGCAGATGACACCCGAATCTGCATGACAGTGTCTTCCATTGCAGACACTGCAAGGCTCCAGGCGGACATCAACCAAATTTCAGTGGGCTGCAGAAAACAATATGAAGTTCAACGATGAGAAATTTCAATTACTCAGATATGGTAAACATGAGGAAATTAAATCTTCATCAGAGTACAAAACAAATTCTGGCCACAAAATAGAGCGAAACACCAACGTCAAAGACCTGGGAGTGATTATGTCGGAGGATCTCACCTTCAAGGACCATAACATTGTATCAATCGCATCTGCTAGAAAAATGACAGGATGGATAATGAGAACCTTCAAAACTAGGGAGGCCAAGCCCATGATGACACTCTTCAGGTCACTTGTTCTATCTAGGCTGGAATATTGCTGCACTCTAACAGCACCTTTCAAGGCAGGTGAAATTGCCGACCTAGAAAATGTACAGAGAACTTTCACGGCGCGAAATAACGGAGATAAAACACCTCAATTACTGGGAGCGCTTGAGGTTTCTAAACCTGTATTCCCTGGAACGCAGGAGGGAGAGATACATGATTATATACACCTGGAAAATCCTAGAGGGACTAGTACCGAACTTGCACACGAAAATCACTCAACTACGAAAGCAAAAGACTTGGCAGACGTTTGCACCATCCCCCCAATGAAAAGCAGGGGTGTCACTAGCACGTTAAGAGACCATACAATAAGTGTCAGGGGACCGAGACTGTTCAACTGCCTCCCAGCACACATAAGGGGGATTACCAACAGACCCCTGGCAGTCTTCAAGCTGGCACTGGACAAGTACCTAAAGGCAGTTCCTGATCAGCCGGGCTGTGGCTCGTATGTTGGTTTGCGTGCAGCCAGCAGCAACAGCCTGGTTGATCAGGCGCTGATCCACCAGGAGGCCTGGTCACAGACCGGGCCGCGGGGGCGTTGACCCCCGAAACTCTCTCCAGGTAAACTCCAGGTAAACCCTGTACTCTAATGGTAATATATACTGTAAATAATAATTGAAATGGAAACTTACTAGGACATTACAGATAAAACCAAAGATAAGGAGATTGAGGTATGTAATATCATTCCATTAATTCTTTGGCAACCCTTTTCCATTAGCCCCATTAGCAACTTTGTGCCTGTGTAATTCCATAAGTTTTCCATCAGATTTCATTTTTTTGGTGTCATTACCTGCAGAATAAGATTGTCTACCATTTCAGAAGAATTTTTTTTTAATCGCGACACTGTCATCACTTCGGGGGTCATGACAGTGAAAAAGTTAAAAAAAAAAAAAAGGTTCCTTGTAAGGAAATAGGTGCCTTGAAACTGGTAAAAGGCTCTTGATTCAAGGAATTAGAGCTACCCTCCTGTCTTGGTTAAAACCTAATTACTGTACCTCTCAATCGCAAGGCAGTGAATGACCCCTATGGGTTTAGTGCTTTCCTTTCCCATAGCAGTACCCCTCATCTCGCTCTCATAGGTTGGAGATTTACCCAGGGATAATAAAGGACCAGTGTGAGCTAAATAGAATTTAATGTTTATAAATGCCGCATAATACAAATGGGTATAAACTAGAAGTTTACCCCTCGAAGATTATAATTTTGGGTGTCTTTTTCTGTCTCATAAACACGCTAGATAACAGGGATATCTTGCTACTCCAACTTACACTTTGGTCACACTTCACAGACATGCACATGCATATATATATACATCTAGGTTTTTCTCCTTTTTCTACATAGCTCTTGTTCTTCTTTATTTCTTCTATTGTCCATGGGGAAGTGGAAAAGAATCTTTCCTCCGTAAGCCATGTGTGTCGTATGAGGCGACTAAAATGCCGGGAGCAATGGGCTAGTAACCCCTTCTCCTGTAGACATTTACTAAAAAAGAGAAGAAGAAAAACTTTATAAAACTGGGATGCTTGAATGTGCGTGGATGTAGTGCAGATGACAAGAAACAGATGATTGCTGATGTTATGAATGAAAAGAAGTTTTGGATGTCCTGGCCCTAAGCGAAACAAAGCTGAAGGGGTAGGGGAGTTTCGGTGGGGGAAATAAATGGATTAAATCTGGAGTTTCTGAGAGAGTTAGAGCAAAGCAAGGGTAGCAGTAATGTTGAATGATCAGTTATGGAAGGAGAAAAGAGAATATGAATGTGTAAATGCAAGAATTATGTGGATTAAAGTAAAGGTTGGATGCGAGAAGTGGGTCATAATAAGCGTGTATGCCCCGGGAGAAGAGGGGAAAAATGCAGAGGGGGGAGAGAGAGTTTTGGGGGAGATGTTAAGTGAAGGGTTAGGAGCCCTTTGAACCAATGAGAGAGGAATTGTTTTAGGGGACCCGAATGCAAAAGGAAGGAAAAAACTTTTGGGAGGGGGTTTTGGGGGGAAGGTTTTTGGGGGGTGCCAGGTGAAAATTGATAATGGGAGCCCTTTTAATTGAACTTTGTATAAAAAGGGGGGTTTTTTAGTTTAGGTAATCCCATATTTTAAAAAAAAAAAGAGGTTTAAAAAAGTATACAAGATATATTTAGGGGGGAAAATGGACGGGTTTTTTTGTTGGATTAAAATTTGGTAGTTTAAAAGACAGTTGAGTAGACTTCGGGGATGTACTGTTTTATGGGGGGCCAACAGATAATCAGAAAAATTTTTTAGTTGTAGCTACCTGAGATTTTAAAAGGTAATGGGATACAAGGAAAAAATTAGAAGCATCGGGGAAAGGAAAGGGGTTTAAGGTTTTTTTAACCCTAAAAAGAGGGGCAGTTAGGGAAAGATAAAAACAGCTTTTTGGGAGGTAGATGGGCTAATGAAAAAGCTAGGCAAGGGGGTCAAAGGGGAATGGGGTGGGTTTTTTTTAAACAATGTAGTTTTTAGAGTGTTCAGCAAATTTGTGGTTCCCGGAAATTTGGGTGCAGGGGGGGAAAGGGGAAGGGAAGTGATTGGTGGAATGTTTGATGTAAAGAGAGTATGAGGGGGGAAAAAAGTTAGCATATGAAATTTTTTTACAAAGTAGAATTGACCCAAGGAGGGAAATATATGGGGGAAAAAAGAGAGGGGTTTAAAGAAGGGTTAAAGCAATTTAAAAAGAAGAAAATGAGAGAGGGGTTTGAATTTTAAATCAACAAATTTTTTTGGGAAATAAAAAAAAATTTTTGGGGGGGGAGTTTAAACAATTAAGGGGAAAGCCTAGAGAAAAAAGGGGTTTTGTTTTTTAAAAAATTAGGAGAGGAAAAGTTATTAAATGGAATTTTTGAGGATTGGGAAGATGGAGGGAATATTTTGGGGAAATTTGGGTTAAAAATTTTTATGAAGAAAAGGGAAGCTGTGATTTTTTGTATGGGGGCAAGGGGGAATAACATTTTTGGGGGGTTTGGGGAAAAGAGCATTTTGGGGGGTTTTGGGGGAATTCGTGGGGGCCAGTAGGTAAAATAAAGGGGGGTTAAGGCACCCGGGGGGATTGATGGGATGAAGATAGAAATTTTTAAAAAAGCAGGTGGGGGATTTAGTTTTGGAGGGGTTGGTCCCAATTTTTTTTAATAAATGTAGGGAAAGGGAGGGGAAAGGTACCTAGGGATTGCAAGAGCATGCAAAATTTCCTTTTTTAAAAAGGAAAAGGGGGACAAAAGAGGGTCCCAAAAATTATAGGGGGAAAATTTCTGTTGATTTATCCCTGGTAAAGTTTTTAATGGTAGGTTATTATTGAAAAAATTTAAAAAAGTAAAAAGGGAGAATGGTTTAGCAGATGAACAAGGAGGCTTTTGGGAAAAGGGTTTAGGGGGTGTGTGGACCAGGGTTTACAGTGAAACATATAAGTGAACAGTTTTTTAGAAAAGGCAAAAAGGGGTCTTTGTGGCATTTATGGATTTGGAAAAAAGGCATATGACAGGGTGGATAGGGGGGCAAAGTTGCAGGGGTATGGTGTAGGGGGTAGGTTACGAAAGCAGTGAAGAGTTTTTTAAAGGGAAAATGAGGCTCAAAATTTTTGAAATACAAAGGAAAAAGGGAAATTATTTCCCCGTAAAAAATGGGCCCTTTGACAAGGAAAGTGTATTCCCCCCTGGTTGTTTTAAAATATTTATAGAGGGGTTGTAAAAAGTAAAAAGCGAAAGGGGGTTGACAAAGGGTGGAGTTAAAAGATAAAGAATCACCATAAAGTGGAGTTGTCACAGTTTTCTCTTTTCTGATTTAAAACTGTGCTCTTGGGGGATTCCCGAAAGAGAAGTTGCAAAAGATTGGGGATGAATTTGGTTGGGGTTTCAAAAAAAGAAAATTTAAAAAATGAATACAGGGAAAAAGGGAAGGTTAAAGAGGATAAAAAAAATATTAGGTTTATGAAAGATTGGATATCAATTGGAGGGAGAGGGGTAAAGGAGGTGAATGTATTTTTAAAATATTGGGAGTCTGTGGAGACAAAGAACTTTGTCCCTTGGGGGCAAAGAGGGGGAAAGTATTAAAAAGTAAGTTTTTTTCCCCAAAACTCTTATATTTTTTGTGAAGCAAGGGTGATGAATGTTTTTCGCGAGGAGAAAGGGTGGAGGGAAATGGGGAGGGCATGTCTGAGGGGAAAAGTGTGGTGTGAATATAAAAGCGAGAATTCTAGTTTGGAAGTTTTGGGGAGAGGGGGGGATTACCAAAAAATGTTGGGCCCAAAGGGTGAGGAAGGGTTGTTGAGGGGTTTTGGACATGTAGAGAGAATTTGGGGCGAACCAGAAAGACTTCAAAAATGAAACATCTGAAATGGAAGGGGAAAGGGGGGGGGTTTTTCCCGGCCCAGGAAAGGGTTTTTGGGGGGGGGTAAAGGAGGTTTTTTGGTTTCGAGGGGCTTTGGGTTTCCTTTAGGCGTGGTGAGGTGTTTGATAGGAGTGAATGGAGATGGGAAAGGTTTTTTTAAAACTTGAAAGGCTGTTGGAGTGGGGAGCAAAGTAACATTTATGAAGGGGTTCAGGGAAAAAGGGGAAGGGCCCACTTGATCCTGGAGATGGGGGAAATTTCAGTGCCTGATTTTGAAGGGGGGGTGTTAATGTTGCAGTTTAAAAACTGTAGTGTAAAGCACCCTTCTGGCAAGACAGTGATGGAGTGAATGATGGTGAAAGTTTTTCTTTTTTGGGCCACCCTGCCTTGGTGGGAATCGGCCAGTGTGATAATAAAAAAAAAAAAGAAAAAAAAAATTTAGGAACAGAAAATCATATAAATATAATAGTGAGAAACTTGTGTTATACTAGCTAGATGCTGAAGAAAGTGTAACATATATATTGGACAAAAATTAGAATGTGGTCATAGCATGGTGTGTTTGCCTTGAAAACAGATGTGGGGTTAACACAGAGCAGTTCAGAGAAATGCAACAAAATGGTTCCAGAAGTAGGATATGTGAGTTGTGAAGAAAAATTAAACTCTTACATCAGAAAAGCTTCTGATGTCAGAGTTTAGCTAGAGATATCAGTTTGTGCAATGTTAGTAGTCTGTTAAACATTTGTGACTGGAAACTGTAAAACCCACTTAAGAGACATGTGAAACCAGAAGTAATGATGGGCCCTATATTTCATTATCTGAGCCCCCTTCATCAGATAGAGCTTTGGTTAGAAAATAAAATTGATCAGTATTTTATTTTCAAAACATTATTACTGTCACTGGAACAATTCACAAAAAACTCATTTTGGAGAGGACCCTATATGAAGTCTTTAGATGTTTTTATGAATTATAAGCCAAATTATACAGTCTCCTCTTTATTTCTGGTTTCTTTATGCATAGTGTGGCTCCTAAGTGGGTTTCTGTTTTCACAGCTCTGTTTAGTCTACCTCCTATAAGTGGCCAGAAAGCATTTCACAAGTTAAATTCAGTTACATTGCAGTAAATATTTCATAAATCACTAAAGTTATATATAATAGTGTCATTAAATATATATTTTTTTATTTCAGGCTGGAAGTCTTCATGCAACTGTAGTGAGCAGCCCACAACAGACCATACCCCATCATCCAGTGTCACATCAACAGTCATTCTCTTTGCTCTCACCTACAGGTAACTTCTCACTCTCACTTTCATGTTACATAAATTTGGAAAAAGCATTTCTTTAGGTAAGCAGTTATTTCACTTTAAGATTTTGCTGTGGTTTATATAGTTGAAAATATTCAATAATTTAACCTGCATAATACTAGTGACAGAATGGTAGTTAAAATATTTGCTGTAATCATGTTTAAACTTTTAATTTACATGTGTATAAGCAGACATTTAATGTTGTATAATAGGATTAAAACAAATAATTTTAGTTGAACTCCTTACAGGCAGCACATCCAGTCACATGTCTCAAGGGCTACAGTCCCCAACTCCGTCAAATCCAGGCTCGCAACAGTTCTTTCCTGAGGCTGTCTCGCGTAAGTTATACAAAAATTTGACTTAATCCAAGGTGGTCTGTTGGAAACTAGCTTTTATATGTAGGATTCAGAATCTGAGATCAGTTTGAATAAAAAAATTAAACTGTCTTATTCAGAAAAAAATTAGAGAAATTTTTGGAATGAATATTTGTGTTTTTTGTTTTTTATAGTTGAAAGTCAGTCTGAAAAGATTTAGCAATTCCCTATAAATTTAATAATACATTCTGCTGTACTGTAGTACAGTATCTGACCCAAACTGTACATTATCATGTGTACCTGCTTCCATTACTAGTTGCTGAGTTTACTTCTAACATTAAATACTGTAAATCAGTTGCTTGTCCATTTGCATATAATTTGTATTCTTTTATTTTTCATGTTAAGATTTTGATAATTGTAGATTTTTTACCTTAGAATTGATATTCTTTTACATATCAGTCATTTTCTGCCAAGATAGGGTGTCCCAAAGAAGGGAATGCATTTTTTTTTTTTTTTTTTTTTAACAAGTCAGCCGTCTCCCACTGTGGCTGGGTGACCCTAAAGTAAGAAAAATCCCAAAAAGAAAATACGTTCATCTTCATTCACACTTTTACCTCACTCACTACATAATCATCGCGTTTTTGCATGTGGTTGCTCTAGAACGCAACGTTTAGAAGCATTACGTATAGATACACAACATATCCTCCAAAACTGCTTTATTCAAGAACCCCTCCTTTAGAGTGCAGGCATTGTACTTCCATTTCAAAGGATCAGTCGGGGCTATATAAAAATACCGGTTTACCGGAATCCCTTCACTATCTAATATTACTATGCTCACACTCCAACAGATCGTCACGGTACCCAAATACCATTCGTTGCATTCACTCCTATCGTACATGCTCTGCCACGCCTGCTAGAGTCCAAGCCTCGCCCACAAAAACTCCTTACCCCTTCCATGCCATACCTTTTCGAGGATGACCCCTACCCCGCCTTCCTTACTACAGATTTAAATGCTCTCCTATGTCATTCTTCTTTGATCCATTCTCTAAAATTTGACCAACCCAACCTCAACAACCCCCTTCTTCAGCCTCTGATTAGATAATGTTTTATTAACTCCAACATTCTCCTAATTTCTTCACTCAGAGTCTATGCATAACATAGAGCACATCACATCGGCCCTTAGACAGGACATCTCCACTGCCACTCCAACGCCTCCTCGACTGCTGCATTCAACTCTACCATGCTCAACACCCATTTAAGTGTGTTGGTACTACTATGCTTTCATCATTCCCTCGTTGCCTCCATAGATATCGTTTTTTGACGTAGTTTGTTGGATTATGTATTGGTAGATAAAAGACTGTGGAGTAGACTTCAGGTTGTACATGAGATTATAGAGGGGCCACAGGATTATATCAGATCACTTTCTAGTTGTAGCTACTCGGAGTAGTAAAAGGTAGATGGATACCCATGGAGAATAGAAGCATCAGGAAGAGAGTGGTGAAGGGGTTATAAACTAAAAGAGGAGGCAGTTGGGTAAGATATAAACAGATATTGGAGGATTAGATGGGCTAATGAGAGCATAGCAATGGGTCGAAGAGGTATGGGGTAGGTTTATTAAAAAGTAGTGTTAGGAGTGTTCAGCAGAAGTTGGTGGTTATGGAAAAGTGGGTGCAGGAGGGAAAGAGGAGCGATTGGTGGATGATGATGTAAAGAGAGTTGTAAGGAGGGAAAAAGTTTGGCCCATATGAGAAGTCTTTTCAAAGAGAAGTGATGCAAGGATGGAAGAGTATATGGAGAAAAGAGATAAGTCTAAGAGATTTGTGTAGAGCAATGTAAATGAGGAGCAATGAGAGAGTGGGTGAGATGTTATCAACAATTTTGTTGAAAATAATGTTAAAAGTTTTGGAGTGAGATTAACAAGTTATGAATGCCTAGAGAACAAATGATTTGTCAGTTAAAAATAGGAGAGGGAGGTTATTAACATGGAGAGTAGAGGTATTGGGAAGATGGAAGGAATATTTGAGAGAATTGTTAAATGTTGATGAGATGGAAAGCTGTGATTTGTTTAGGGCAAGGAGGAATAACATCTTGTAGGAGTTGAGGAAGAGCATTGTGAGTGTGGGGGAAGTTCGTGAGGCAGTAGGTAAAATGATAAGGGGGGAAGGCACCCGGGATTGATGGAATAAAGAATAGAAATGTTTAAAAAGTAGGTGGGATATAGTTTTGGATGTGGTTGGTGCAATTATTTATTAAATGTATGGAAGAGGGTAAGGTACTAGGGATTGGCAGAGAGCATGCATAGTTCCTTTGTATAAAGGCACAAAGGGATAAGAGAGTGCAAAAATTATAGGGGATTTGTCTGTTGAGTGTTCCTGGTGTAATGTGTATGGTAGTAGTTATAATGAAAGAATTAAGGTAAGACGGCAGAACCTAGGATAGCAGATGAACAAGGAGGCTTTAGGAAAGGTTGGAGGGTGTGTGGACCAGGGGTTTACAGTGAAAAACATATAGTGATCAGTTATTTGATAAGCTAAAAGAGGTCTTTGTGGCATTTTATGGATTTGGAATAAGGCGTTATGACAGGGTGGATAGGGGGGCATGTGGCAGATATGTTGCAAGGGTATGTGTAGGAGGTAGGTTACTGAAAGGCAGTGAAGAGTTTTTATGAGGATAGTGAGGCTCATGTTAGGTAGGCTAGGAAAGAGGGAAATTTTTACCAGTAAAAGTATGGCCTTAGACAAGGATGTGTGATCGCTCGCCGGGGTTGTTTTAATAACGCTACTTTATAGATGGGGTTGTAGAGTGTAATTGCGAGGGTCTTGCAAAGGAGGCGTGGAGTTAAAAGATAAAGAATCACTCACAAAAGTGGGGAGTTGTCACAGCTGACTCTTTGCTGAAGTGACACGCGTGGCTCTTGGGAGATTCGGAGAGAAGTTGCAGGGATTGGTGGATGAAGTGGATAGGGGGGGGTTTTTTTTGTGCATAAGAAGAATAACGCTTAAGGTGTAGTACAGGATAGTCTGTATGGTTATGTGGTTAACATAAAGGTTAGGTGATTGAAAAGGTGAATATCGATTGGGAGGGAGTGTGTATGGAGGCGGTGAACGATTAGATATTGGGAGTGGACCGCTTGTCAGCGATGGGTCTATGAAAGATTGAGGGTGAATCATTAGAATTGATTGCGGGAAAAAGAACGTGTGTGGTGTCACTTAGGTCTTGTGGAGGGACAAAGAACTTTGGTCCTTGGAAGGCAAGAGGGGAATGTATGAGAGTATAGCTTTACCAACGCGCTTTTCATGGCGTGTGAAGCGTGGGAGTTGATGAAGTATGCTCAAGGAGAGGAGAAGGCTGGAGGCAGTGGAGATGTATGTCTGAGGGCAATGTTGGTGTGAATATAATGCAGAGGATTGTAGTTTAGTTTGGAAGTTAGGAGGAGGGCGGGATTACCAACAAAAACTGTTGTCCAGTGGGTCTGAGAAGGTTGTTGAGGTGGTTCGGCATGTAGAGTGAATGGAGCGAAACTGAATGACTTCATAGAGTGTATCTGTCTGTAGTGGAAGGATCGCGCGGCGGGGAGGGGTCGGCCTAGGAAGGGTTGGAGGGAGGGGGTAAAGGGGGTTTGTGTGCGAGGGGCTTGGACTTTCCAGCAGGCATGCCTATGTGAGCGTGTATTGATAGGAGTGAATGGAGACCAAATGGTTTTTAATACTTGGCCGTGCTGTTGGTGTGTCGACAGCGAAAGTAACATTTATGAAGGGATTCAGGGAAACGGCCAGGCCTCGGATTGAGTCTGGAGATGGGATGTACAGCTGCCTGCTCTCTGAAGGAGGGTGTTAATGGTTGCGTTTTAAAAAAACTGTAGTTAAAAGGCACCCTTACTGGCAAGACAGTGTGGAGTGAATGATGGTGGAAAGTTTTTCTTTATGCGGGCCACCCTGTAATTTGTGGGAATCGGCCGGTGTGATAATAAAAAAAAATGTACCCTCGAACTGCACCACTCACCTTTTTTCCCTCATCCATTCTAGGATTAACCTTAGCCTTATCTTAAACCATCCACCGACACATTCAACTCCCAAAGTATCTGAAAACATCTCACTCTTCCATACTCCTCCTCCCAAATTTGCTATATCAATTTTTCTTTATCTAATCACTTGATACCCTCATACACTCGCTACTATTTTCTATTTTCACTTTCACATATTTCTACCTTTAAACACACTCCAATTCATCCACTAACCTTTGAAATTTTCTTAGAATCTCCCATAGCACTGTATCAGCAGCAAAAAGTAACTGTTTGTCAATTCCCATTTGTATTTGGTTCCCATAATTTATCCCACCCCTCTTCCGAAACAACCTAGCATTTACCTTCCACTTTTACAACCCCCCCTCTGTAAATTATTAAACAACATGGTGACGTTAACATCCCTGTCTAAGACCTAGCCTTTTACCGGGAAGAAGTCTCCCTCTTTTCACACCTTAACCTGAGCATCACTATTCCTCAATAAAACACAGTCTTTGACAGCATTTAGTAACTTACCACTATTCAATATACTTGCATCCCATCTGTCACATTGCTCTCTATCCATCTATCATATGCCTTTTCTAAATCCATAAATGCAATAAAAGCTTCCCTACCTTTATCTAAATACTATTCACATACATTTACCATTATTAATTCATTATTTGTTGTCAAAAGTACGTATGGACAAAACAGTTCAAAGTGACCCTCTGCATTTCTTTTATACTTTTAGCTGGTAGTTTGAGTCAGTTGTCACCTCATCTTCAACAACAACAGCCACAGCAAATACAACAGCAGCAGCAACAGCAAAATGGATTTACAGTATTGACAGGTGCAACAGGAGCCAGTTCTAGAACAGTTCAGACAGGTGCAGTGACATCCCAGTTTGGGCAGGCTGCTGCTGCTGCTGCATCACCCCAGCAAGTCTCACCTCACTCTGTTACCACACACACTATGTCCTCGCAGCCAAACTGGAGTGGTCAGAACACTTTATCGTATACACCCAATATGATGAATGATCGACAAAACCACAGTTACTGTAAGTAAACTTCATAATTGTAAATTAATGATTGACTTTTTTCAGCTGTAAAGTATTCAGAACATAAAAATATGGATCAATGTCTTACAGATGAAAGGAAAATTACTCTTTAACAATACAGCATGTCAAAATCATGGACATATCTTGATTTCTCTTGTCACATATTTGCAAAACTTTACACAAATAAGGCTATTTAACCCTTTCAGGGTCCAGAGGCCAAATTTCGAAGTGTGCACAAGGGTCCAAGAGTTTTCAAAATCTCGCGAATTTTGGTGTGTCGGCGATATTTAAGCATCGGCGATTTTGCCGACTTTGACTCCCATGTTAGGCCAATTACAGTATTCCAGTCAACCAGATTCTTAGCTATTTCACTAGTATTACTTCTATTCTATCAAGTGAGCAAAAGAAATCGCCAAGTCAACTGTTTCAACAACAAAATAAAGTGATCGGAAATTGGTAATTTGGCCAATTTAATGCAAAGTTCAAAATATTCCAGTTTCAAAATAGGGTCCAGAATAAACAATGCAGGCATTCCTGGCACTAAACTAACATTTCCTCTGTTCATTAGTTATGTTTTCAGGCTTTACAAATGAATTCCATTTTGATTTTTTATTCACATAATGAATTTTTATTCAAACCAAAAAGTAGAAGATTTACTGTTATGCAATACTGTAATAATTGTATAAAAAATATCACCACATTTGTGAATGTATATTAGACCCACCAGCTGTCATGTATTAGACTTGAGGTCATTTGTTTACTCTTGAACATCGGCAAAAATTTAACATTTCTGCTACTTTGAGCTCAGTTTCAAGCCATTTCCAATACTAAAACCAATCAAAATCATCTCTATTTCTGTAGTATATCTTCCATTCTTTCAAATGAGACCAAGAAATTGCAAATACAACTATAAAAAAAACATACAAAAAACACTGCAAAGTCGCTGTTTTAATCGAAAATTACGGTCTTGTTTTTTTTTTTTCTCGTTATGCACTGTGTGCTGCAGGATTTGTTTTATGTAGTGCACACATACCACATAGATGTATTCTCTAAATATCAAAAGGCCCTTTTTACGTTTCACAGTTTTACCAGAGTGGGCTGAGCTCATGGCTTTGCTCTACGTTTTGGACCCTGAACATAAAGCCTTGGAATCACGCAGGGACCCTTTAAAGGGTTTAAATAAAAATTTTGAAATTATTACGGTTTTTTGTTTAAAAACAGACAAAAATTATTTTTTTATTTTTAAATTTACCATATATTTACTGCCCGAGAAAAAAAGGGATTTCAAAAGTAAATTTCACATTTATTTTGTAAAATTTGTTTTGCTGAGTGTACAGTAGTGATTAGTGAATAAAATGAAAATTGTAAATGATACGGGTAAGGTTCCTTAGGGTGAAAAAAAGCGGGAAAACCCAAAAAAATTTTAGAAGGCAGCCCAAAATTTTTTTAGGGAAAAGATCATGTCCCCTAATAAAAGGGCCCCCCTTTTTAGGGGTTTTTTTTTCTTTCCAGAATTTATGTTCAGGTCCCTTTTACGAACAAATTTTTGTTCCCATAAAAAATATGTGAAAAATTTTTTTTGGGGTCCATTTCAGACCCCCAAACTTTTAACGTACAAATGCACTTACAAAAATAAACACATTAATAGGGTCGCTTTGGGGAGGTGACGAAAAGGGGGGGCCCACTGAAAATAGGCTTTGGGGTAACTGATCGGGGAAGGGATTAACAAAATTTTGTTTATCCAAAAAATGATTACGGGTTATTTTATGTCCCTTTAGGGCCCCCAAAGGGTTTAGTGATCCCTATGAAAAATAATGCATTATACATGGTTCTTCGGGGGACCCCCAACAGATGATGCGGGGGATGCCCCAGGTTGCCCCCCTTTCCTCAAAAACCGGGTCCAAAAATTTGGGTTTTCCATTGCATATTTTGAACTGGACACACAGAGGAAAAAAAGATAAAAACTTTTAGTTTTTTAGAACTAAAATTTTAAATTTGGCTTGATTTTTTTTTGGGTAAGGGGGGCTTAAGAAATTTGGCAGCTTGTGTAGTTTTTTAGATGGAGTGAGTTGGGGGGATGGAAAATTTGTGAGACTTTCGGGAAACATGGGGGGGGGGGTTGGGAGGGGCAAATAAAAATTGGTTTTTTATGATGAGTGAAAGAGGGGGAATCTAGAAGCAGTGAAGGAGAGAGAGAGGGAGGGGGACAGACATACTTACTTACATAGGAAGTGTTCTTTGTTTTTTTTTTTTTAATTTAATTTTTAAAAAAATAATTGAAATGAGATATGGAATTATATACATACTCGGGAAAATTCATCTCGGGCCTTTTTTGAAAAGGGGTGTCTTGAAAAAAATAAAGTTTTAAAAAAAAATTTTTCACGAAAAAATTTTAAAACATCTTTTAAGGGGGGGCCTTATATATACCCCGGGTATTTTTTAAAAATTTTTTCCTGTTTTGTTTTCGGGGGTGGGGATTTTGAAGGGTTCCCGCCCAGTTGTCCAGTTTTTTTCCGTGTATGGTTATGGGGACCCCATTTGGTGGTAATTTTTTTTTGTTTTGGGGGCACTCAGTAAGTTCACCGAAACAAAACAAAGTGAGAGGGCTAGGTAAGCTTTATTTAGGGTAATTTGGGGTGGTTTTGTTTTAATTGAATTCTTTGGGTATGTTTTACGTAAAAAAACTTCCTTTCTGTGGGTGTTAATTTTTAAATTATCCCTGTTAATAAAAGTTGGTATTTGATCATTTTTGGATTTTCCTAGAAAGATGTAGGTTGGGTATAGAGCAAAATATTCCCTAAATTTTAAAAAAACACTTTTAAAACGGGGTCTATGCCACTCTAAACACCATACAGCGGTATTAAATATTTTCTTTTCTTTTTTTTTTGGGAAACATACTGTAAAAATCCTTTTAATGACGGGTTTTTTCATTCAGGCCCCAAAAATATTTTTTGTTTTAAACGGGTTCATAGTTGTTTTAAAATTTTGGGATGTTCTTGTGAGAATTTCTTTACAGGTATCGGGCCCTGGATATGATTTGTATACTAAAACTTTTTAAAATTTTAAATATATCTATATATAAAAGTTATAAATATTATAAAATATATATATATTTTATATATTTATATTATATAAAAATCTTTCCCCCGTAACCCACCCGGTTTTTAAAATTTCCCTAAAATGCCGGGAAAAAGGGGCTAGAAAACCCCCTTTTCCTGTAAAGATTATTTAAAAAAAATTTAAGAAAAAGAAAATTGAAAAAGGGGGAAGTTTTAATGTGCGGGGAGTTGGGGCCAGATGATAAAAAAGAGAGTTTTGTGGTTGTTTAATGAGAAGAAGCTGGATTTTCCTGGCTTTAAGGGGAAAACAAAGTTTAAGGGGGGGGGAGAGTTTCATTTGGAGGGGAAAAATGGGATTAGGTCGGGGGTTTTTAAAATAGATTTAAAGAGCAAAAGAAGGAGTAGAAAAAAATTTTTGAAGGAAAAGCATGGCGGGGAAAAGGGGCTTTAAATGAAATTAATTCAAGGTTTAGGGGGAAATTAAAAAAAAGTTTGGGATGTAAAAAGGGGGGTTTTTAAAATAAGCTTTTTTTGCACCGGGAAAAAAAGAGAAGGTAGAGGAGAGAGAGGTTTTTGGGGAAAATTTGAGTGAATGGGGGGGAGTTTTGAATAAAGTGTGAGAGTAATGGGGGTTTGGGGGTTTTTAAATTGCAAAAGGGGGGGTTAAAATTTTTTATGGAGGGAGTATAAAAATTTTGGGGTGCCAGGGGAAAATGAAAAGGGGGGGGAACCCTTTTAAATTGAGTTTATTTTTGTAGAAAAAAAATTTGGGTTTAAAAAATTAATACATATTTTAAAAAAAAGAGGTTTTAAATAAATATAAAAGGGTATGATGTAGCACGAAATGAAAGTGTTTTTTAAATTTAAGTTTTGGGTGGATAAAAGGTTGAGGGGTGGGCCCCCGGATGTACCATGTTTATAGGGGGGCAACTATAAAATCGGATAAAATTATTTGGGTTGTGCACAGTTAAGAAAGGGGTTGGGGGGAAAAGGGGAAAGGGGGCAACAACAAGAAAGAGGGAGGTGAAAAGTGTAAAAAACTAAGGGAGGGGGTTTTTTCGGGTAAAGATTAAGCGACTTTGGCAGAAAGGGGGGCTAGTGAAAAGATGAGTAGTGGGGGGTTGAAGGGGGTTTGGAAAATTTTTAAAAAAATTGCAGAAATAAAAAGTGGGCAAAAGGTTTGTGGTTAAAAGGGGGGTGGGGGGGGGAGGAAAGAGGGTGATTGGGGGAAATGATAAAGAAAAGGGGTTTTGGATAAAAAAAAAAAGGGGTAGTTTTATAAAGGTTTTTCCCAAAGCAAAAGTGTATAAGAAGAGCAGGTATAGGGAAGTAAAAGAAAGGAAAAGAGAGGGGTTGAGAGAGTCCCAAAAGGGAGAGCTTTTTGTAGAGGGGGAGAGGCACGGAAAAAATTTTTAATGAAAATAAAAAAAAAATTTTGGAATTTGATTTAAAACCCAAAAAAAAGGGAAACCCTGGGAAAAAATAGGGAAATTTGTCTTTAAAAAACAGAGTGGGGGAGTTAGTAGAGGGGGGGAGATGGAGGTTTTGGGGTAAAAGGCGGGAATTTTTTTGGAGGAATTTTTAAAAATGTTAAGGAAGAAAAAGGAAAGTAATTTCATGAAACGGGTTCTGGGGGGGTTTACCACTTTTTAGGGTAAGAAGAGCAGAATGTAATTTGTGGGGGAGGTATTTGAGGAAATTACAAAAAATAAAAGGGGGTTAAAGCGCGGGAACTGAGGGGAACATGACAAAATGTTAAAAGCAGGGGGGGGATATAGTGTTGGAGTGGTTGGTACTTTTTTTAAAAAATTGTATAAAAGGGGGGAAGGTACCTGGGGAAATTGGGTAAGAGAGCATGTATAGCCCCTTTATAAAAAGGGGAAAAAAGGGGACAAAAGAGACTGAAAAAATTTATAGAGGAATAAGCTTACTGGGTATCCCGGGAAAAGTGTACGGTAGGGTTAAAATTTAAAAGGGGAATTAGAGGTAAGACAAAATGTGGGATTGGGGATGAGCAAGGAGGTTTTTTGAGTGGGTGGGGTGTGTAGTTGGGGTTGTTTACTTTAAAGCTTTTAATGTGAAACGTATTTTGATAAAGATGGGGTTTTTTTTTTATTGCATTTGGGGTTTTTAAAAAAGGCAAAATGTTTAGAGTGGATAGGGAGCAATGGGGCAGTGTTGAAAGTTTTGGGAAATAGGTGGTAATTTATTAAATGCTGTAAAGATTTTTTATGGGGGATAGTGAGGCTCAAGGTTGGGTTTGTTGAAAAGAAGGGGGGAGACTATTTCCCCCGGAAAAAGTAGGTTTTTAGACAGGGATGTGTAATTTTCACCAGGGTTTGTTTAATATATTTTTAGATTGGGGATTGTAAAAAAAAAAAAGCAGGGTGTTTGGGAAAAGGGTGGGGGAAATTAAATTAGGGGGAATAAAATTTCCCAAAAGGGGAATTGAAAACAGTTATTTTTTTTGCTGATGATACGTGTTAAAGGGAAAATTCAAAAAGAAAAATTAAAAAGGGTTTAGGGGAAGATTTTGGGGAAAGGGAAAAAAGGGTTTAGAAAGTTAAAAAAAAAAAAAAAAAATGGGGGGGGAAAATTTTTGATAAAAAAAATTGGATATCAAATTGGGGAGGGGAAAAAAGGGGAAATTTTTTTAAATTTGGGGGGGGGGGATTTATTTTGGGGGGGGGTTTTTTAAAAAAAGGGGGGGGGGAAAAAAAGGGGGGGGGGTTTGGGGGTTTTTTTAAAAAAAATTTTTGGGGAAAAAAAATTTAAAAAAAAACCCCAAAACCCTTTTATGGGGTTTAATTGGGGGTTAAAGGGGGGGGAAAAAAGGGGGGGGGGGGGGGTTTTGGGAAGGGGGGGTTTTTTTTTTGGAAAAAGGGGGGAAAAAAGGGGGGGTTTTAAAAAAAAAAATTTAAAGGGGGGGGGGGGGGGTTTGGGGGGGGTTTTTAAAAAAAAGGAAAGGGGGGAAAAAAAAAAAAAAAAAAGGGGGGGGGGGGGGGGGTTTTTAAGGGGGGGAAAGGGGGGGGGTTTTTGGGTTTTGGGGGGGGAAAGGGGGGGGGGGGGGGGGGTACCCTTTTTTGGGCCCGGGGGGGGAGGGTTTTAAAAGGGGGAAATTTTTTAAATTATTTAAAGGGGTTTTTTTTGGAAATTAAAAAGGGGGTTTAAAGGGGGTTTTAAAAGGGGGTTTTGGGGTTTTTTTTTTTGGGGGGTTTTTTTCCCTTTTTTTTTGTTTTCCCTTTTTTTTAAAAAAAAATTTTTAAAAAAAAATTTAAAAATTTTGAAGGGGTTTTTTTTGGGGTTTTTTTTTTTTTTTTTTCCCTTTTTTGGGGGGGGGGCCCCCCGGGGGAAAAAAAAAAAAAAAAAAAAAAAAAAAAAAAAATTTTTAAAAAAAAATATATATATATTTTAAAATTTTTTTAAAATTAAAAAATTTAAAATTTTTTAATTTTAAAAAAAAATTTTTAAAAAAAAAAAAAAAAATATATTTTAAAAATAAATATATATAAAATTTTTTTAATTTAAAAAATTTTTTTTATATAAAATTTATATATATATAATTTTATTTTTTTTAAAAAAAAAATTTTTTTTAAAAAAAATTTTAAAAAAAAAATATATATATTATAAAAATTTTTAAAATTAAAAAAAATTTTTTTTTTTATTTATAAATTTTTTTAATTTTTTATATATATTTATATATTTATATATTTATAAATAAAAAAAAAAAATTTTTTTATATAAATATAAATTTTTTAAAATTTATTAAAATATATATTTTTTTTAAAATTTTTTTTTATATATTAAAAAAAAAAAATTTTTTTTTTTTTTTTATTTTTTATATATATTTATTTAAAAAAATATTTATTTTTTTTTATATATTTTAAAGGGGGAAAGGGGAAAAACCCCCCCTTTTAAAGGGGGAAAAAATTTTTAAAAACCCAAAAAGGGGGGGGGGTTTTTTTTTTTTTTTTTTTGGTTTTTTTTTTTTTACCCTTTTTTTTTACCCGGGCCCCCCCCCCCCCTTTTTTTTTTTCTTTTTTTTAAATTTTTTTTTTCTTTTTTTTTTTTTTTTAAAAGGTTTTTTAAAAAAAAAGGGGGAAAAACCCAAAAAAAGGGGGGGGCCCCTTTTTGGAAAATTTCTTTTTTAAAAGGGGTTTTTTTTGGGGGGGGGGGGGGAAAAAGGGGGGTTTTAAAAAAAAAGGGGGGGGAAAAAAAAAAAATTTTTTTTTTTATATATAAATTTTTTTTTTTTTTAATTTTTTTTTTTTAAAAAAAAAATTTTTGGACCCCCAAAAAAAAGGGTTTTTTTAAAATTTAAAAAGGAAAATTTTTTTTTAAAAATTTTTTTTTTTTTTTTTTCCCCCCCTTTTTGGGGGGTTTTTTTTTTTTAAAAAAAAAAAAAACCCAAATTTTGGGGGGAAAAAAAAAAAAAATTTTTTTTTTTAAAAAAAATTTTTTTTTTTTTAAAAATTTTTTTTCCCTTTTTTTTAAAAAAAAAAAAGGAAACACCCCCCCCCCTTTTTTAAAAAAAAAAAAAATTTAAAAATTTAATTTTTTTTTTAAAAAATTTTTGGGGTTTTTTTTTTTTTTATTTAAAGGGGAAAACCCCCCGGGGGGGGAAAAAAAAATTTGGGGGGGTTAATTTTTGGGGGGGGAAAAAAAAAAGGGGGAAAAAAAATTTTTGGGGTTGGGGGAAAAAAAAAGGGGTGGGGGAATTTTTTGGGGGGGGGAAAAAATTTAAAAAAAGGGGGGGAAAGGGAAAGGGGAAAGGGAAAAAAAGGGGGGTTTTTTTGGGGGGGTAAAAAAATTTTTTTAAATTTTTTGGGGGGAAAATTTTTTAAAAAAAGGGGGGGTTTTTTTTAAAGGAAAAAAGGGGGGGAAAAAAAAAAAATAAAAAAAAGGGGAAAAATTTTTTTTTGGGGGGGGGGAAAGGGTTTTAATTTAAAAAAAGGGGAAAAAAAAAGGAAAAGGTTTTGGGGGTTTTTTTTGGGGGGGGGGGGAAAAAAAATTTTTTGGGGGGGGGGAAATTTTAAAAAAAAAGGGGGGGGTTTTTTTAAAAGGGGAAAAAGGGGGGGGGGGGTTAAAAGGGGGGGGGTTTTTAAAAAAATCCGGGGGGTTTTGGGGGAAGGGGGTTTTTTTAAAAAAAAAGGGGGGAAAAAATTTAAAAAGGGGGAAAAAAGGGGGGTTTTTTTTTTTAAAAAAATTTTGGGGGTTTTTTTTCGAAGAAAAAGGGGGGGGTTTTTTAGGGGGGGAAAAAAGGGGGGAAAAAAAAGGGGGGGAAAAAAAAAAATTTTTTTTAAAAAAATTTTTTTTTTAAAAAAAAAAAAAAAAGGGGGGGGGTTTGGGGGGGGAAAAAAAAGGGGGGGGGGAAAAAAAAAAAAGGGGGGGGAAAAAAAAATTTTTAAAAAAAGGGGAAAAAAAAAAAAGGGAAAAGGGGGTTTGGGGGTTAAAGGGTTTTGGGGAGTTTTGTCCGGGGGGGGGGAAGGGGAAAAATTTTTTAAAAAAAAAGGGGGGGGTTTTTTTTTGGAGCCGGGGGGGTTTTGGGGGAAAAGGGGGGGGAAAAAATTTTTTTTTTTGGGTTTTTGGGGGGGGAAGGGGGGGGGAAAAAAGGGGGGGGAAAGGGGGGTTTTTTTGGGGGGGGGGAAAAAAAAGGAAGGGGGAAAAAAAAAAAGGGGTTTGGGTTTTAAAAAAAGGGGTTGGGGGTTTTTTGGGGGGGTTTTTTGGGGGGTTTGGGGGGGGCCCCAAAAAGGGGGGGGTTTTAAGGGGGGGGGAAAGGGGGGGGGGGGGGGGGAAAAAAAAATTTTTTGGGGGGGGGAAAACCCCGGGGGGGGAAGAGGGGATGGGGGGAAAAAAAGGGGTTTTTTTTTTTTTGGGCGTTTAAAAAGTAAAAAGGGGGGGGGGGGAAAGGGAAAGGGGGAAAAATTTTTTTGGGCCCCCCTTTTGGGAAAAGGGGGGGTTTTAAAAAAAAAAAATTTTAAAAATTTTGGGAAAATTTTTTTGGGGGGAAATTTTGGGGTTTTTTTTGGTTTTTTTTAAAGGAAAAAAAAAAAAAAAAAAATTTTTTTTTTGGGAAAAATTTTTTTTTTTTTTTTTTTCCCGGGTAAATTTGGGGGTTTTTTTTTTTTTAAAAAAAACCCCCCAAAAAAAGGGGGGGGCCCCTTTTTTTTTTGGGGGGCTTTTTTTCCCGGGGGGGAAAAAAAAATTTTTTTTAAAAGGGGTTTAAAGGGAAAAAAAAACCCCCTTTTTTTTTGGGGGGGCCCCGGGGGGGTTTTTGGGGGGGTTTTAAAAAATTTTAAAAGTTTTGGGCCCCAAAAAGGGGGGGGGGGTTTTTTTGGGTTTTGGGTTTTGGGGAAAGGGGGGAAAAGGGGGGAAGGGGTTTTTTCCTTTTTGGGTTTTTTGGGGTTTTTTTTTTTTTAATTTTTTTTTGGGGAAAAAATTTTAAGGGGGGAAAAGGGGGGCCCTTTTTTAAAAAAAAGGGTTTTTATTTGGCCCTTTTGTTTTTTTTTAAAAAAATTTTTTTTTTTTTTAAAAAAAATTTTTTGGGGGTTTAAAAAAAAGGAAAAATTTAAAAAAAGGGGGAAAAAAAAAGGAAAAGGAAAATTTTTTTTGGGAAAGGGAGGGTTTTTTAAATTTTTGGGGGGGGGGGAAAGGGGGTTTTTTGGGGGGGAATTTTTGGGGGGCCTGGGAAAATTTTTTTGGGGGGGGGGAAAAAGGGGGGGGGGGGGTTGGAAAGGGGGTTTGGGGGGGGAAAAAAAGGGGTTTTTTTGGGAAATTTTTTTTAAACCCTTTATTTTGGGGTTTTAAAGGGGGGAAAAAATTTTTTTTTAAAGGCCGGGGGGGGTTTTTTTTTTTTAAATTGCTATGGTGGTTCTATGCAGGCACATAAATATTGACAAACCATACCATGGACGGGGATAGAACCCGTCCGTGGTGTGGTTTGTTTGCAATCGTGTCATTACGATTTCGTGAGTCATGTTGAGACATAAATATTGAAATTGTTATTAGGAATGCCTGAAGGGATTCATGCCATGATTTCTTTCTGTTGCAGATTGCATATTGGAAAGGGAGTTCAGCTGGACCTGAGAGGCGAAGGGGATGTGTGGCTGCGTTGTTTGAGTGATCACAGTGTGTTTGTTCAGAGCTACTATCTGGATCGTGAAGCTGGCCGCTCTCCGGGTGATGCTGTGCACAAGATATACCCATGTGCTTGCATAAAGGTGGGTGACTGGTTTAAATTAGTCCTTATACTGTGTATCTATATTAAGGCCCTTTTTGTTTTTTACCTGCTTGAATTTTAATTTGTATATTGTATTCTCCAGAACTAAGTTTTAGGGTCAGGCTTTCCAGATACAAGCTTATGACTTAGAATGTACTATGAATATAGTTTGGACTGTAAGTAATAGACTTTATAATGATTATACTGTTGATGTTTAAAAGTAAATTAGTCATTAAAGCAGTAAAGTAATATTGATAGTAAATTATTAAGAGAACTGAATGGATCAAAGTAGAATGACATGGAGAGCGTATAAATCTGTAGGGGAAGGAAGGAGGGGTAGGGGTCGTCCTCGAAAGGGTTGGAGGGAGGGGGTAAAGGAGGTTTTGTGGGCGAGGGGCTTGGACTTCCAGCAAGCATGCGTGAGCGTGTTAGATAGGAGTGAATGGAGACGAATGGTATTTGGGACATGACGAGCTGTTGGAGTGTGAGCAGGGTAATATTTAGTGAAGGGATTCAGGGAAACCAGTTATTTTATATAGCCGGACTTGAGTTCTGGAAATGGGGAGTACAATGCCTGCACTTTAAAGGAGGGGTTTGGGATATTGGCAGTTTGGAGGGATACGTTGTGTATCTTTATACGTATATACTTCTAAACTGTTGTGTTCTGAGCACCTCTGCAAAAACAGTGATTATGTGTGAGTAAGGTGAAAGTGTTGAATGATGATGAAAGTATTTTCTTTTTGAGTCACCCTGCCTTGGTGGGAGACAGCCGACTTGTTAAAAAAAAAAAAAAAAAAAAAAAAAATGAAAATTAGTAATGATGGCAGTAAATTTTGATAACCACTGTTTTTTTTTATGTTTAAGGCATTGCATAACCAATGCATGCAGGTTCTTTGTAAATCATACAACTGAACCTGCCATGGTGTTGATAGTGAAGATAGATTAACAATTCTGCCAGAGTTCAAAGTACTTAAAGTTGGGTTTCTCACTTGCGTGAAGGATGGTAATACTGTACATACTTTCCTGGGCAGGTAAAGTCTGTTCACTAGCTTAAATTAAACTCTTTAAAACTGAAGTTATTATATATGTTGGGTTAAGTTATTTTCTATTATTTTCAACTAAAGCTTTAGAAATTACTTATGTCTATTTTTCCATATTAAGATATACTGCAGATTCCAACTTAGAAAAGAATTACATTGCTGGTTTCTCAACTTATGAGTTGTTAGTACAGAAAAAAATCTGGTTGTCTCATACAGTGTGAAGCACCCTGTTTGTAAATGTAAATATATATAGTGTGAGGCATTTGTAAGTTTGGACCTTGTGTAACTGCTGGTATTCATTACAGAATGTCACATTATTGCCTATATTGTGCACTTCCTCCAGGGAAGGTGCTTTGATGCTTGTGATCCAGTGAATTGGAGATATCCTTCCCTTCCATTCATCAACCCTGATTGTCTCCCAAGCCATTGTATGACCCTTATGGGCTTAGTGCTTCAACACCACTACAATAATCAAAGAGGCTAAAGGCAGCAGAGATGTCATGTTTGAAAGTAGTGTTTGGTGTGAATATCGTGCAGAGAATTTTGAGCATAGACGTGACTGTGGTGGAACTGTTGTGTTTGCCATGATATATTCAGAGTACCTGTTACTTTCTGTGACAATGATTTCTATCAGGGATTGGTCAAAGAAGAGTTCAAAGAATTCCAGTTCACTTGCAGTGTTCCCAAGGGTACAATTTGGTAGGAGTCCACTGTGATTGTCTTCAGATTGATGGGGATTGGCTACAAAATTTGCATTTTGCTGCCAACCCCAGATGCACTGTGTTGATGGGTACTGGATATTAGTAGCTGGTTGTGGTTGTGCAGGTTGTAGTTGTGGTGTGGGGGTGGTGAGTCAGAAGCATGGCTCCCAGCCTGGGCTGTTGCTGGTGCCACATCCTGCATGGCAGCACCATCACCTACTGACGCATGCGGTCTATTATCCATTCCAGTTGTAGCCACATTATCGTCACTTTCACTGTTCCTGTTACAGGGCCACGGGATGTACTCCGTCCCCTTGGAATTGCATATGGCACACTACCAGACCACATGCAGTGTCATATAAACTGACACTTCACCAATGAATATTCTTCCTTGCTGTCACTACTCAAATGTTCATCAAGAGCATTGAAATCAAAGTTCATGTCAGTGTCATCACCGTTACTCACATATGAGGCCTGGCCATAGGAAAATATAATAAGCTTATGCTTATGGTGAGGTACAACTGAACGTGACCCAGACAGACCAGCGCCAGAGGTGGAAGGATGAAGGTCGTTAGGGCTTTCGGCACTGTTTCCACCATCCTGAGCATTGCTTTTGGTCACATTGTTCAAAACCATAGAATTCCTTTTCACGTCCACTTCCATCCATGTTAGAACTGTCACTTGGTAAGAGGAGATTTTCAGTTTGATGGGAAGTGGGGATTTTGCTACAATGAGACATGGTGAGCAGAGCGTACTGAGATGGCATTCCCACAATGCAATGTGGGTGCCCTGATATTTTGTTTACCATGCACACTGACCATGCAGACCCATTCTCTTAGATGTAGGCCTATGAACCTTCTCATGTTAAATTTAAAGGCAATAGAATTTTGGCGTAGTACTACGGCATGGACACTGATTTCAAAGCCATAGAACTATGGCACAGACGACGAAGTAGTTAAGAGAGGTTGTTGAAGTGATTTAGGCACATAAGAGGATGGAGAGGGATAGGATGATGAAGAGTGTATAAATCCAAGGTAGAGGGGAAAGGGATCATCCTAGGAATGATTAGAGGGATTACAAGAGGCTTTGAGGTTTAGGGGTTTGTGCATCCAGTAGGCTTGTGTGGATGTGTTGGATAGGAGTACATGGAGACGTGTAGTTTTTAATGAAAGTGCTGGTGTGAGCAGGACATCTTATGAAGGGATTCAGGGAAACCAGTTACCTGGAAGTGTGATGGGCAGTGCCTGCTCTCTGAAGGAGGGCTGAGGATGCTGCAGTCAAAGGGTAATCTGATGTCAGCACACTTCTGTAAAGCCAGTAATTGAGTGAATATTAGTGAATATGTTTTCTTCTTTGGGTCAGTCTGTTTTGGCAGATGATGGCCGTTAAGTTAAAAAAAATTATAATACTATAATAGTAATGAATTGAAATATCTGTTCATATTACAGGTATTTGATTTGAGTCAATGCCACCGTCAGATGCAGACTCAGGCAGCTACAGCTCAGGCAGCAGCTGCAGCCCAGGCAGCTGCTGTGGCTGGACAGATTTCGGGCCCAGCTACTGTAGGTGGAATCTCTCCTGGTAAGAAATGTGCATTTATGTTTGCTTCATTGTAATAGTGAAGACTTTAAAAATTTTCACTTGTGTGCTTGTGCGTACCCACCGCTTTGGGAGGAGAGTTAACCTGTGGTCTTCCATCTTTAGTAATTTAGTACTTGTGTTTAATTCTTCTTTCAACAAACCAGTCGTATCCCACCGAGGCAGAGTGGCCTAAAAAGAAAAACAAAAGTTTCTCTTTTTAACTTCAGTGATATATACAGGAGAAGGGGTTACTACCCTCTTGCTCTTGGCATTTTAGTCACCTCTTACAACATGCATGGCTTACGGAGGAAGAATTCCGTTCCACTTCCCCATGGAGATAAGAGGAAATAAACAAGGCCAAGAACTAGTAAGAAAAACAGAAGATAACCCAGAGGGGTGTGTATATACGTATATGCTTGTACATGTATGTGTAGTGTGACCTAAGTGTAAGTAGAAGTAGCAAGACATACCTGAAGCCTTGCGTATTTCTTTTTTTCAATGTACCAGCCGTATCCCACTGAGGTGGGGTGGCCCAAAAGAAAAAACTAAAGTTTCTCCTTTTAAATTTAGTAATATATACAGGAGAAGGGGTTACTAGCCCCTTGCTCCCAGCATTTTAGTCGCCTCTTATGACACGCATGGCTTACAGAGGAAGAATTCTGTTCCACTTCCCCATGGAGATAAGAGGAAATAAACAAGAACAAGAATTAGAAAGAAAATAGAAGAAAACCCAGAGGGGTGTGTATATATATGCTTGTACATGTATGTGTAGTGTGACCTAAATGTAAGTAGAAGTAGCAAGACGTACCTGAAATCTTGCATATTTATGAAACAGAAAAAAGACACCAGCAGTTCTACCATCATGTAAAACAATTACAGGCTCCCGTTTTACACTCACTTGGCAGGACAGTAGTACACCTACCATCCAACTTATGACCGAGTTCGGTTCCGAGAAACCGGTCGTAAGTCGAAATGGTCGTAAGTCGAACTTTACTACTGAATATCAACAAAACATTTGTGTAATGACTTTATTTTATTGTTTTATTTTGGTATTTCATGTTTTACTTTACTTTTTATGTTGTTAGTACTGTATTTTATACTGTAAGGTTTAGGATAAACACTGTGTACAACACAAATAGTTGTTTATTTCCCAGAAATTTGGCATAAAAAACACGGTCATAAGTCGAGTGGTCGTAAGTCGAGCAGGTCGTAAGTCGGATGGTAGGTGTACTTCCCTGAGTGGTTGCTGCCTACTAACCTACTACCTTGTACTTGTGGTTAATTTTTTTTTTTTAACATGTTGGCCATCTCCCACCAAGGCAGGGTGACCCAAAAGAAAGAAAAACCCAAAAAGAAAGAAAAACTTTCATTATCAGTCAACACTTTTACCATCACTCATACACAATCACTGTCTTTGCAGAGGCGCTCAGATACAACAGCTTAGGCTTCCCTCCAAACTGCTAATCTCCCAAACCCCTCCTTTAAAATGCAGGGATTGTACTTCCCATTTCTAGGACTCAAGTCTGACTAACCAGTTTCCCCTAATCCCTTTACAAAATATTACCATGCTCACATTCCAACAGCCCGTTAGGTCCCAAAAACCATTCGTCACCATTCACTCCTATCTAACACGCTCACACATGCTGGAAGTCCAAGCCCCTCACCCACAGAACCTCCTTTACCCCCTCCCTCCAACCTTTTTGGGGACGACCCCTACCCTGCCATCCTTTCCCTACAGATTTATACACTCTCCAAGTCATTTTTCTTTGTTCCATTCTCTCTAAATGACCTGACCACGTCAACAGGCCCTCTTCAGCCCTCGTGACTAATGCTTTTAGTAACTCCACACCTCCTCCTAATTTCCACCCTAATTATTACTGTGTTGAAATATGACTTAGGGAATTTCTTCTTCACAGGTAACCTCTCCGCTGCAGCAGGAATTGGTGTGGATGATCTTAGAAGACTGTGTATTTTGCGTCTCAGCTTTGTAAAAGGTTGGGGCCCAGATTATCCTCGGCAAACCATCAAGGAAACTCCATGTTGGATTGAGGTTCATCTTCACCGTGCTCTTCAGCTTCTTGATGAAGTTCTCCACACCATCCCACTTGATGGTCCGCGTCCTCTTGAGTGATGCAACGTGCCATTGTGGGATGTGCAAACGATCACTTTGCAGGATGATCAACTCTCACTCATGATACAAGATGTACAAGGTGAAGATCAGTTGATCTTTATGCCCTTCTTCACATGAATGCATGTCCCCAAGTGCATCTATATGCACTTATGTTACTAAGTTCACAAACATATACACCCATAGCATTCTCTAAAGTGAGAATATTTACACAAATGCATGACCCATGTAATGGGCCATATTGGAGGAATTTTAAGTATGAGAAATGCCATACTTATATAAAATTGTGTTGAAGCACAATTTGGTTATCTTAGTTATGTTAATTTGTGTAAAAGCTTGGGTGTAGTTTTTAAAACCCATCAGCCTAATTTTTGGCAAGTTGAAAATGTTTGAGTATATGGGGAGTTGGTGCAAGGTTAATTTTCCCATTCATTTCATAGTAAAATCTAGTTCAGCTTTTATATTACAGTTAGTCTTGTCACTGATGTTGCTGCATTTACTACATTGGATCTTATATGTTAGATTTCGATTTAGTAGTATAAAATATCAGACTTTTTAACCTATGATTGTCTCTGGTCTGTATTAAACAACTTGATGCCTGGTGTGTCAGTTTTGTGAATGGGACCTTTACAGTTACCAGAAATAGGTATTTAGTAATGAGAGGATTGTAAATAAACTAGATCTTTGTTCTTGCATTTTCTGTACTAGCTAAATGCACAAGATTATATCTGGTTCAAAATCAGCTGTTGTATACATATTTGAATTTTCTATATAATAGGATAGGTGGTAGTGCTCAGTATTAAACAAGTGAATGAAAAGCTTAATATTCTTTACATTCTCTCCATATAAATTGTTGTATTGTTATTTATTGGTTTGAATTATTTAAATTTTGCTGCCTTTTCTCTTATAAGCATATTTCGGACATAGTATAGATTGGGCTAGGATGAGGATATTGCAAGATATGTGGCTATTATATATTATATTATATTTATGGGGGAGTTCTAAACCTGTAGGAGTCATGGGAGGTATTCAAAGGAAGGGAATAGCAGGTCCAAATGTGACTATAAACTTTAATTATAGCTTACACTTTCTATAGTTGAGCACTTCTACTGGCACTTTAAAATTCAACTTGTGCAATATTTCATTTATAGTATAATAGTCCAGTGCCACTACATTTTCCTATAAAGAATTATTATTATAATAACCAAGCATTAATTCCCATAAGGGTCATACAGTGCCGCATTCTATAAAAAACCTTGCAATAGTACAGGAGATGGCAGAAGAACATGGTCTAGTTTAGTGTTCTGATACTTTGTATACTAAATCGAATTAAAGCATATTATATTTGATTAATTGAAAGCCAAAGAGGCTCTGTTCCAGTGGATATGTTGCCATAATCATGGATTATGTCTCCTGTTAGTATTTTGTATTTTTAAATGCTTCTATTGTTTGATATTCCAGAATTAAGACTTCTCCTAAATCATACATATAGGGCTTGAGTATTTCTTGACTTATTCCTTTTAAAATTTTCCAGGTCATCCTGATATAATTTATTATGTAGGGTAATGATATATAAATCTCTTATTTTAAACAAATACTATTAATTGCTTTGGAGTTCCATGGGAATTAAGAGAATATTTTAGCCAAACCATGTTAACTGCTAGTTATGACTTGGTCAGGAGTTGTCATCTCAAAAGGTGAAAGTAGGAAAGATAATTTTTACCAAGATAGTAATTACATTTGAGAGAAAGTTCTTAATTCATGACACTGAAGGTCAATATATTGTATTTTCAGGTGTAAATTAAACCACTAAAAATTGAGAGGTAGGAAACAAAAAGCATAAATGGTTAAAAGTATCATTATACTGTATTCTCAAAAAAGTGGTAATTTGGCTTCAGAGCAGTAGATCCTTGTATTTAGGAGAGAGACCCCTCACATTTACAAGGGAGAATATTCTACATCAGTCCATATGCTACCTGTATTGAAAATTTACTAGATATCAGCACTTGCATTTCTGAGTATAGTAATGTTAATATTTTTTATTTAGTTTCCCTTATTATTGTCAAAGTGACATTGAAAATAAATGGGATTTTTTATTAAAAAACCTTATAGGTTAAATGTCACTTGTGACATGAATTTGGGAAAGTGGTTTTATCTGCTAAGTTGCTTTGCATTTAGATTTTAAATTTTATTTGGAAATTGTAAATATTTTACAGCTACTGTATATGTTACCTATATAATATTCAAACTTGGCTGTTTGAAATAGTAACTAACTAAAATACTGTACATTATTTCAGTATCCTGGAATTTTGGATAATTCATGTTAGTCAAAAGTCAATATGCTAATTCATGATCTGCAGCTCCTGACTGTTGGAAAGATAATTATTTTTTCTATTAAACAGGTCATTGTAATGACCTCTGTGATTGCTAACTGGTGTCTTGCAAAAGAGCAGCTAGGTATGTTTTAAAGTGCAGGTGATCAGGTTTACACACAATACATTTGCAAGTGACTAGCTCCCTTATTAGTCTTACCTTGTTAAAGTGGTGTGTGCAGAGCAAACTTTTATTTACAGGCATTTTGCTCAAAACTCCAAAATTCCTTAAATGTTTGCTCTACACAGTGCCTACTAATATTCTTAATTATTATTACAGTCCTAGGGAAGCACTAAACTTGTGGGGGGGTCATACAATGCCTGGGGTAATAAGAGGCAATCAGGTTTGATTCAAGGAAGAAGAGGTCTAGCCCAATTCCTTGAATCAAGAGCCCCTCACCAGCATCAAGGAACTTCTTTTTAGGGGGTTGCCATTGAACAGCCTTCTTTGTCTGAAGCAGACCCAAGTCTAGTGGTATCACTATAATTGCTCTACATGTGTGATTAATGATAACAGATTTGGTTAGTAAAGGATTTTTGCAAAGTTTGTCACTGGCCACCTTCACATGGAGTGATTTTGTAAGTTGTGCTTGGGTTACTGTTTCCCAAGTACAGTCCATGGACAAAGACCTCGGCATTTTCTATGGCTTAAAAGGTTTCCAAATACTACAAGTTTATACATTTCAAGACTGACAAGTTATTTTTTCATGATTGAGAGAAAAATGTAAAGTTGTGCAGTGTTAGACCTTAAATGCTTAACACACATTTTTCAGCTGATTGATATAAAGCTATTTTTCTCATACGTAATGTGATACCAACATTTTTCGAAATCATCTCCGATTGTTTTGCAAAATTTAAGGTCCAGGAGTCAATCTACAAGTTAGTTCCACTGAGCATCATCATATTAGCTTTAATATATTCTTGATGTTTTTACTAGAACACATATAATTTAAGATTTTTACTGTGAAATTTAATAATAATGCCATTAAGGAAGTACGATCATATAAACTTTTGTGATTCTAAACTAAGTTTTGAAACTTAGGTGGGGAGGGGGCATGAGAACAGTTCAGCAACAGTCGTATTATTGATGGAGAGCCAGTGGTTACTTCTGTTTTGTTGCTAATCTCCCTATAGTTGAAACAGCTAAAAAATAAGACATTGTAGTTTTAAATACTGTACTACTACTACTATTTTTGGTATTATTTTGTTCTTTAGTTTTAAATTAATAAAGAACAGCTGTGTAATAACTATAATTACATATATATATAATATACATGGGCTGAGAATGAGAGACTTGTGCCTCAAATGCAATACCATTTTAAATATAACAAATACTGCAACTAAGAGTGAGTAAACTCTACATGGATTCATATTGCATGCAGTTTTTCCAGTGATCATTCCCCGTATCATTTGGGAGTTTACTCTTTGGTTAAAACACTGTTATTAAATAATTTGAAACCATTTTTATCATAAATGATATTTTTAATTATTTCATGTTTAAGGGCTCTCTTCTGTAAACATTTTGAATGAAAGTATGAATAGAAATTTATAATGTAAAATACATTGTGACATGAAAATTTTATAAGTAATGAGCAGGACACATGCCATTAATCCTAGGGAAAAATTATAATTACTTCAATATTCTGCTATCAGAATATTGAAGTGTTGACTATAAATCATATTGACTTAGCACCATTATAGCTTGATATGGTACTTTGAATTTTAATTTTAAA